AGGCAGTAGACATCTTTGCTGATTCTAGAGGCAGGGATGAGGAGAGGATTCATGTAAGTAACTATGCTGGACTAAGCTCCCAAGAAGCACACCCCATGAAGGTTCCATTGTGAATGCCAATGGTCTGGGGGTGGGCCCTGCCTGAAACACAGCTAAAAATGTTTCACAGGAACTATCTTTCTCATATAACACAATCCCTCCACCCAACAAGAACTCAAACTTGCAGTCAAATTTACTGCCAACTACAAGAGAGCCTTAATCTGACTTTACCCATGTCCTCTTGAAATCTCAACTACCTCTTTGAATGCTTCTTCTAGAAATAGGCTCACAGTGGGGATGGGGAGGGGCTAAAAACATCTTAAAGAGCATGCCCCGCCATCTTCCTAGGCAAACAGCATTAGGATTTGCCCGATTCATTCTCACCTCATTTTTAATGATAAAAATCGGGCAAGTAACCCCATTTTGCAAATAGAGACTTGGGTCCAGAAAGCATGAAATGATATAGTGACATCAGTGCACATTAAGTGGAGGAGGTTAAGCTTCTTTCTCCTCCAGGCTACTCCCTCACCTACCCAACTTAGTTCTAGGGCAGTTACTAGCCCCCACTTTCTTCACTGTGCCACATGGAGACTGCCACCAAAAATGGGACAGGAATAGGGCAAATATGTAGGGTAAGCCTGTCTTCTGCCCTAACTTATTCCCCCACACCCAATTTTCTCCCTCCGTTTCCTGCAGCCCCACACTGGTTCCACCCTTTCTTTTCTCCACCCTCAGCCAACCTCAGGGCACATTTCCAATAACAAAATGAGTATAGAAACTTTATGCTATGCTATAGCTCTCTCTGTGTCTCTGTCTCTGTCCTCCTCTCTCTCTCTCTCTCTCACACACACACACACACACACACACACACACACACGGGGGGTGGTGTACAATCTGAATCACTAAGGCCTTTAAGAGGCCCTGTTTGATGCAGAATCATTAGTGCCAGAACTTTGGAAAGGTCACCCATCCCCAAAGAGGTTCTTTTCCAGCGCAAGGAGCCATCTCTATAGATGGCTGTCTATATTCTAGAGTGGGAACCCTAGATATCAAAACAGACAAATCTGATTAGAAGAGAATCTACACTTCATCAAGACGGGTTCCCTGGATCAACAAGATAGTATAAGACACTAACTAAAGGAATTAATAACACCAAGGTCATGGACCCAATTACCTTGTGGGTCATGTTTCAATGGGGAAATTATAAACCATCTCTAACTCTTGGGATAATCAACAGTAGCTTTTAAAAACCATTTCCTCTTGTTTTAAATTTATCTTTATTGTTGTCCACCCCCCAACCTTCTCCACCCTACTCCCACCCCCTCCCCAGGCTTTTACCGAACTATTGTCTGGTCCATGGGTTATGCATATATGCATTTCCTCTTTTTTTGTCACTCGATTGTTAGAAGACTATACCAATCTCCATAACTTTGGGTAGCTGAATTCCCCACATTCAGGGAAATCACAGGAGTTGGTAGAAATTGATGATTTCCCCAACCTGATCATTTCCTGGTCCAAAGGTTCTCCCATGACAAATATGAGGTAGACTTTCACATTGCATGCACTCTTTTCCCACTAAATGCCTTTTCTCAAATTCATCTACTTTTAAGATGCCTCCACCTTTTCCACAAGCTATCTCCAAGCATGTACACCATACCACCCAGACCCAAATCACCTTTGAGTTTTTTTCCCCATGACACCAAAGGAGGTTCTCCATTTCCAACCATGGTTCTCATATCTTACCTCTGTCTCTGCCTAACCTGAGATCATCACAAGTGATTTGGAATCATCAAAATAGTTCTCTCCTACTCCCTGAGCCCCGACTCCATAAGGGAGTGTCTGAAACCCAGTCCTTACCTATTGTGGAACCATAGGCTGGCATAGAAAGGGTCACTGGGGAGGGAGGCTGCCAAGACTGGATACATACCTGACCGGTATTGCCCCATGCCCCTTCACAAACTGCAGTACTACCAGATGAATCAAGAAACTCTCCAAGTAGTAGAAAATATAATAGGCTTGGAGCCTACCACTGGCTTGCCATAGGATAGACTTAGACAAGCCACCCAGTGCATCCCAGCATCAGTTTTTCTATCAGTTTCTCTACAACCTTCCCTGACTTCCTCACAGGGGGCCTGTAAGAGGCAAATGAAATAAGGGATGTGGAAACACACTATAAACAGTAACCCTGTATGCAAATGAAACAAAGCATCGTCTTCCTCAGTCTGCAACCCTTTTGAGGAGAAAAGGTTCTGAGCGAGCATAAAAGATTGGCTACGCCCGGTCGGTGTGGCTCAGCGGTCCAGGAGATCCCAGCTCAATTCTTGGTCAGGGCACATGCCCAGGTTTTGGGCTCGATCCCCGTACGGGGTGTGCAGGAGGCAGCCGATCAATGGCTCTCTCTCATCATTGATGTTGCTATCTCTCCCTTTCCCTTCCTCTTTCTGAAATCAATAAAGATATATTAAACAACAAAAAAAGAATTGGCTACTAGACCATCATAGTCTTATTTAAAGACCACCCAATTGAAACTCATTGTAGACATGTGAACACCTAAGTCCAGAGAGGGCAAATGAAGTATGCAGAGTCCCAGAACTAGTGAGTAGCAGAGCAAGGATTAGAAACCAAATTTTTGATCTACCAGTGTGATTCTCTTAATGTGCGGAGCCTCCCATCCCATCACCACCAATGTGTGCAGACTGAGGCTATTTTCAAGAAGAAAGCTGTATTGTTCTGAAGCTTAAGGGGAAGCAAAACTAAGGTAGAAAAATGAAAAGGGGGACTAATGAAATGTGCCACAAAGTGTCTTGGCAAGAAAAAAAACAGGCAACCACTACACCTAAAAAATTACTGTAGCCCCTTTATATATTGTTGGGGCTAACCAGATTATATATAGCTCACTTTTACTGTAAGGAGCCAGGCTAGTTGGGAGGGATGGGAGAAATGATTTTACCCCCTACATCTCCAAATGTGTGTAATAATGAGCCTTCATATAATAGGAGTCAACTGTACATTCAACAGAAAGGGAATCATTAAAAGGCACCCTGCCTCTCAACACACGAGTCACTTCCTCAGCAGCTTGGCCAAGGAAACCCTCATCTACCCTCAAATAATCCCCCAGCCAGACCACAAATTGCTGGCTGCCCCATACTTAGTAACACCCCTGCCACACTAGTGTTGGCTCACAAAACAATCCAGCACCACAGCAGCAAGCACTCTCTGAGGTGCTTCTTAGGATGGGTCAACCCTGGGCAGAGGTCAAAAATGACCTCTCCAAGGCAGGTTGTTTAGGCAGACAGTGGAAATTCTGTGGGTGGTGTAAGGAGAAAAAGAGAGGAACTGACCATTCAGGGCTACATAGTCTGTTGTGACCTTGATGGAAAAGGATGGGGGTTGATTAGAAGAAATTCCTGAAGGCCAGGATTCCCCTCTCCAAAGGGGTGGTTTGAGAGTGTTTCTGTTTAAAGAAAAGAAGAGCATATTACTCCCTCCAGAGAATACTGGAGAGGAAGTGCCTTAGGAGGGGGTGTGACAGTGGGTTACAAAGGTATCTCAGGCTGATTAGAAATACATGACTAGTACAGGGGAAGGAGTTGGTGGATGAAGATCTGGGCTGGTTATTGGTGTTGGGGGAGGCTAAAGATCCCAGGTTTCCCTGACAGCTCCTCAAAATTTTGCCACATACCTCAGACTGCTCAAGCTGATTGGTACACCCTATTGCAACACCCCAGGGTTGCTAAGATTGTGGGCCCCAAGACCTGAAGGGGCCCCTACACTATAAATTTACCAGCAGCTCCAATGCAAGGCAAAAGCAGCACAGGTGGGGGGGGGGCGGCATTCGTGTCCCTGCTGAGAAATGACCCAGGTTAAAACGCCAAAGAGAAGTGACATTTGTTCCCTGCTGAGAAGCCACATCTTTCTATCTTCAGCCCAAACCCATATCTACAACCTCAATGGCAATTTCAGCGGGTTGGAAGGGCTTTTCAGATTTGAGCATTTAAGAGAAACAAAAACAAAAACTGGGATAAAGTACAGGAAGTTCGTTTACTTGGCAATCTCACGCCTCAAGGTGAATTGTCCTACAAATCTCTCTTCCAGTATCAGCCCCAGAGGCCCCCACTGTCACCCCTACCAGGAATGTCCGGCTTTGGGGGCTCTGGAGCACTTGGGAGAGCTCCTCTCCCTGGTCCTCAGCTGCAACTTGGCTTCCAGCAGATCACAGCCTCCTAAAACAAACAAACCCTGGCGGCGGGCGGCGGCGGCTCCAGCACAGCTGCACTCCATGGCGCAAAAGTTTCCTCCACACTTCTCAACGTGCAGGAAATCTCGCCGGCGCTGGGACAGGACTCGGGAAGGAGGGAAAGGCCGAGCCTAAGCGGCAGCAGCAACGCCCCACCAGCTGAATGGATGTGCGCGCGTCCGGCCGTGGGAAGTGAGGTTGACGAAAGCCACCAATGCCTCATCTCCGTTCCCACACCAGACCCTCGCCCTGCAACCTGCCCCGACAGGATGGCCCACCGGTTGACCAAGGGCCACCGCTGCTGAGAAAGCTGCCAAGCAGCCTTGCCTGTACCTTTTAGCCTCTCACTGTCCTTTAGGGGCGCGGGAACTTCTAAGGAGAAACCCCCACCAGCCACCACTTCCTCCAGTCAAACTGAGGGGAGCAGCTGCCCCGACGTGGGGGAGCAAAAGCTGCCCCAGAGTCTCCAAAGTGTGTCTGCGCGCAGCGCTCTAGCAAGGGGGATAGCCGTGCTCTCATCTGTGCTCCCGCCACCCTTAAGGGGTGCCTGCGTCTGAGCTGGTGGCAAGAGCCCTCCGTGCTGCTAATGCACCACAAGGGAGCTTTCACCCCCAGCCTGAGCCAAGTTTCAAAGTTGGTCTGAGGGCCCCGTCCCGCGGCAGCCTGTACACCCGTTTGTCCATTCAAAGTTGGGCACCGCTGGGACAGAGCCGCCAGTTCTTACCTTCGACACCGTGAGCGGTTCACAGTGTTCCAGACCCCCCTTAAGGGTGAAGCCCCAGGGCGCCCCCCCTTGCAGCTGCACAGGGACGTACTGGAAGGACCCAGGCCGGTTCTCCATCCTCCGCTTTGCTCAGGCGCCGCGGGGCTCCTTTTCCGCGGGGGCTACGTTGCCTCCGCCCCCAGCAGCTCTGCCACCATCGCCCTCCAGCGCTACGCCACCCCGCACTGCCCTGCTCCGCCTACTCTCCCGGCTGGAGACGCTCGGCCGCTAGCGAGCGCAAGGAGGAAATGACACGGAGCTGGAGAAAGGGGGAGAGAGGGGGAAAAGGAGAAGGGGAAAAAAAAGAAAAGAAAAGAAAGAAGGAGAGGCGGAGGGATAGCTTGTAATGGACAAGAAAACGGAGCAATGGGGAGGGGCAGTCACAGGGACCTCGCCTATAGGATCGCTGGGGAGTGGGAGCAAGGCGAGGCCTCACATCAATTGTTACATTGTTTCATTCAAGCTGGCCCCCACTTTGGTCCTCCTCCTGACTGCAGGGTTCCCCGCCCCTCCAGCCAGCGGAGGCGATGGGAGGTGAAAGTCGTTAGTGTGGATGGCCCGCGTAGCCGAGTGGGCTGAAACGCTGGTTTCCCGCTTAGCGCGTTCTTGTTCCTCTGACTGCCTTTTTCTTCTGAAGGTCCCGAGAACCGGGTCCTAGGAGGGTTACAAGGCTGCTAATTTGTGGATCTTGCCTAGAGGGATGGAAAGTAAAGCAAGCAGGCCAGCGAACACAGTTGGACTGTGTGTGTAGGCTGCTCTGTGCGTTTGCGCTAGGTGTGTGGGGTCATTATGAAACATTGCCCCGGAGCATAGTTTAAATAAAGAGGCACTTTGAGGATGCCCCCTGCCCGGTCTCAGCCTCGCCCAGGCTCAGCGCTGGCGTCTATGGGTACCACTGTGCTTGTGTATGTTCCAGTCATCTGGAGTTCCTGGCACGGCCTTGCACTTGCCCCACTGAGATGACCAAGCCAGGATTCAGCAAACTTTATGACTAGCCGTATTGTTTCCACTCCTAAACAAACCTACAGGAAAGAGCATCCATTGATAAGCTGGCCAATTAACAATGTGCCTTTTGGAGGAATCAGCTTTTAGGCAGTGCCCAGAACATCTCTG